ATCTGTATTCCCATTCCCATCATGCCCACTTGCACTCTCAGTCCCATCATGCTGTTGCTGAACCACAACAGGATGCCCCTAACAAATTTATATATATAGATTCTAGGTTTCTCTGGAAACTAATGGGGCTCCCTAGATATGTGCTGTGCATTGAGATGGCCCAAACCATTTTTGAAACTTTGGTTGCATGTACATTTTCAAGCATATCTCAATAGCTATATTCCCTCTCTGTTATCAAATCATTTTATTTCAGAGTGGTATACTTTGGTTCTCAGGAAGACTGAAGCAATTGGCTTGTCTTTGGAATCAATTTTAATGCTTACGAATGTGGAAGCCTGCAGGCTAGTCACGAACAGACTTTTGGATCTTGACTTCCACAATTTGATTCTTGTAGCAAAGACAACCTGTTCCTCTAGCATATTACTAACTCCATGTGAGCGTGGAGTTATGGCAGCTGATCTTCACATTTTGATTAATCCCACCCAAAGGAGAGCTTTTGCTGTTGTAAGATATAATGTGTTCCTATCAACTCTTTTGGATGGCAGATACAAAAATATGGAACATTCTGTCGAAACACTTGACCATTCTTTGTTAGTATGCTTCAAATATAAGATAAAGATGAAATTCAGGAATTCAAATTTTAAAAGGGTTTTCAGTGGTAATGGTGTTATAAAATCCCTTATCCCATGAACAATTCTGGTGCGTTCTTTTGCGAAACTGTTGCAAGTTTTATTCTTGAGATTACAAATTTTTAATCATGGGCCCTTCCAGACAGGCCCTCTATCCCAGGATCTGATCCTAGGTTTTCTCCTTTAACCTGGGTTATATGAGTCCCCACTGCCAGATAATCTGGGATAAACAGAAAACCTGGGATCAGATCCTTGGATATAGAGCCTGTCTGGAAGGGTACCATGTTTTTCATTTTTTATTTGTGACTTCCTTTTGTTATACATACCTGTGTTGTGATTTTGTTCGTGTATGCCAATAAAGCCTGTTTTTGTGATCATTATTTGTTATGAAAAGAGATAATTAGTCAAGTCCTTGATTTAAATGCAATTACTGGCTTCAACTAGACTAGACCCATTAATTAATTACAGTTAATTGCCAAATGATCTGACACGTTATGTTAACCCAATTGATTCAATGGGGTTTATGTAGCTGGTATTAGTGCATGTAGTTCCATAAAGGAGAGCTGAGCACAGGGTTTGTATAGCCCTAAAGCCTCCTTTTGTGGCCCCCAAGCTCTCCATAATCCCAAACCACAATTTTCTTGCTCCCTTGAAAGGATGAATAGGCTTTCCTGAAAGCATTCAAAAGCATCCATTAAGCTTTCAAATAGGCTTCAGAGACCATCACCATTTAACGACTGGAATTCACTTGGGAATTTATGCGGGAAACAGAATTTAGTTGTTTTCCAATTTCCTATTACTATTATGTTACTACATAGTGCTCATTGGACAATGGGACAGGTGAACAATGAGACACTGGCTAGGGAGTGCTGGTGTGCATTGATAACGTCTGATGAGCATCAAGACATTTTTGCTAAGGTCCTATTATGCCGGGCTGTGGTGCAGCTAGTTAATAGCCAGCTGTATTAAATCACTACTGACTGAGAGGTAATGTGTTCAAAGCCAGCCCAGGTCGGAGTAAGCTACTGATGATTAATAGTCTAGCTTGCTGTTGACCTATACAGCCCGAAAGACAGTTCCATCTGTCAAGTAGGAAATTTAGGTACCGCTTTATGCGGGGGGCTAATTTAACTAATTTATGATGCCATAAAAACTTCCAGCAGCATGCAGAAGAATGAGGAAGTACTCCATCAAAGGACCCGGCATCACAAGTGGACGGTGAAGTGACAGCTCCCCCTATGGCTGTCAAGACCCAGGCAGACCAGCAAAGCAAACGGCACTGTAAGAGTTAAATGAAGGTCTTTAATGTCTATTAACAAAACAAAAGGAGGCTCTTAAAGTCAGAGTTGTAAACACAAAAGGCTTGCGGTCAGCAGGAATGTAAACAAACTGGTCTCAGTCAGTCTTTGCTGGCAAAAGGAAAGCAAGTCTAAACAGAAGCAGGCAGCTTGGATTCAGCAGTAAAACTCAGTCCGTTTCAAAGGCAAACAAAACAGCAAACAGCAATCCACATGAAGAGTGGTCCAACGAAGGTTCCAGGGATTAGCAGAGGCGTAGTCAGGCAGTCCGAGGGTCAAGGCAAGGAAGACTCA